GTGGGGGGGGGAATGTCTTTTCAACATATGGTGCTGAAAAAGATGTATATCCATATGGGAAAGAACAGTCTGAACTTCTATCTTACGCCATACAAAAAGTTAGAGATTGAACGTAACACTTAAAACTATGAAGCCCCTAGAAGAAAATTTCAGAGACTATCTTTATGACCTTGGGATAGGCAAAGATTTTGTAGACAAGACAAAAAGAAAAGTGCTAATCACAAATGAAAAATAATCAAGTGAACTTCATCAAAATTAAAAACTTTTGCTCATCAGCAACACATTAAGAAAATGAATAAACAATCCAGAAACTGAGAAATATTTGTTACACATATCTGATAAAGGACTGGTATCCAGAATATATAAACTACTACTATAAATCAACAATAAATACAATACGATTTTTTAAATAGGCAAAACCTGAAAATATACTTAAAAAAAGAAACACAAAGGGCGCCTGGTTGGCTCATTCGGTTAAGCGTCTGCCTTCAGCTTGGGTCATGATCCCAGGGTCCTGGGTGGCGCCCCACATCAGGCTCCCTGCTCAGCGGGGAGCCTGCTTCTCCCTCTGCCGCTCCTCCTGCTTGTGCTCACTCTCGCTCTCTCTCTCTCTAATAAATAAATATCTTTAAAAAGGAAAGAAAGAAAGAAAGAAAGAAAGAAAGAAAGAAAGAAAGAAAGAAAGAAAGAAAACAGAAGGCACATAAATGACCAAGAAGCAAGTGAAGAATGCTCAAATGAAGAGGGGGAAATCAGAGGGGGAGAAGAACCATGAGAGACTATGGACTCCGGGAAACAAACTGAGGGTTCTAGAGGGGAGGAGGGCGGGGGGATGGGTTAGCCTGGTGATGGGTATTAAGGAAGGCATGTATTGCGTGGAGCACTGGGTGTAATACACAATGAATCATGGAACATTACTCAAAAACTAATGATGTACTGTATGGCGACTAACATAACATAATAAAAAAATTTTTTTAATAAAAATAAAATAAATAAAACAATTTATAATCAAAATTTTAAAAAATGCTCAACATCATTAGTCATCAGGGAAATTCAACTTAAAACCACAAGATATGACTATATACCACTCAAATAACTAAAGTTTAAAAACTTAAAATATGAATATTGGCACAGATATGAAACAATTGGAAATCTCATATTACTGGTAGGAGAGAAAAATGCAGCAACCATTCCAGAAAATTTTGGTTCTTTATAAGTGATACATATCCTTACTCTATGACCCAAGAATTCTACCCTAGGCAAAAAAAAGACTTTTTTTTATAAGAACGTTCATTGCAGCTTTATTCATAATAACCCAAAACTGGAAACTAAAATGGCCATCAATAAAAGAATGGTCAAATTGTGATACAGTCATAAAATGGAAAGCTGCACAGTCATAAAAAAGAATGAACTACTGATATCCATATCAACATGAATCTCAAATTTCAAAAACATTTTGTTGAGAAAAGAATCTAGATGCAAGAGGGTATTCTATTTATAGAAGTTTCAAGAATAGACTAAACTATGATAATAGAGATCAGAACAATTTTGGGGGGAGAGGAAAAGAGGGAGGAGACTGACTGCAAAGGCATGTAAAGCAATTTCACAAGTTGTGGAATGGTTCTAAATCTTTATTGGGATGTTGGTCACATTGGTAGATACATTGTCAAAACTATCAAAATGTATAGTTAAGATCTGTGCACTTTGTACATTAACAAATAAAAATCTAGCATCTTCAAATACCTTAATCTATGTTAAATATAAAGTAGGTACACCCTGCTTTTAAGAAAAAAATTACAAAAGAGCTAAATTATGATTAGTCAGAATGCAAGATGATTTTTGCTCTGGATAGTTGCCTGGGAGTTCGTCTAAATAATAAGATTCTTTACTACACTGAAAATGATGAGATTTGCAAATATATAGTTTAAAATAGCTTTCTAGGAACATATATGCTGCATAGATTCAGCTCAAAAATTAGAAAGTATCTCAGTCATCTTGGTTCCAAAGAATCTCTCAGGCATTTGACTTAATAGTTCCAGAAATACAGGTAACTTGAGTTCATTTTCCATAGAAATAGTCCTCCTAGTAGGCATGTCACAACTGTAAGCTACCCACGTGTGTGTTCTGAACACACAGGAAAAACACATGTTTGGGGGGATTAAAAAAGCTGTAAGAAGCTTTTGCACTTACAAGTCAATCTAGCTACATATGACATTTTCCTGCATGGGCAAGCATCTTCAGTTTTATCTTGACATATCTACTGTTATCTTTCTAAAAGCTGATTTTGCACATGAAAAATTGCCATTTCACATACAGCAAAACACTTAAAATCTCCCTCACACATACAAAAAAAGTCATATGGTCTCTGGAAAATTGGTTATATTTTTATCTATTACTGAGAACTGGTTAAAATTAAGTTATATAAGTTTATATAAGCCTAACATACTATCTTATTAACTAGCTATTGGTAATATGATCTTCATACGATCTATAGGATAACCACTTGCTTCCTCAATGACCTCACTATGTAAAGTCTAATCATATCATAATTTACATAAAAATAGAAAACAGAGGGTCAGAAAGATGTGGTCAGAACTGCGCTGCTTGGCATAATGCCTTTTCTCCTCAGTAACAGACAGACACCAATCCAATCCTACCAATGACTTCCCCTTCCACAAATCAGTGAGCTAAGAGGCACCTCTTGGATTCAGTACAACTTAGCACCGCCACGGCCAATGTCAGAGCTTGTGGCCATGGTTGGACAAAAAGGAAAAAGAAACCAACAGATCCATGAATGTGTGGGTCACGCTGGCTGGGTTTGGTCAAACAGAAATATCTGCAGTACCACTCTCAGCAACAACTTGATCATTCGTGCCATACTTAGCTAATACTGAATGCATGACAGAGGAAGAGATTTAGCCTCATTGAACTGGGACACTACGTTGAAAATTACTATTCGTTAATGGGAAGATCTGGCATATACCTAATCCATTTGGAGCCATGTCCAACTTAGATACTAAAGAACTTGTAGTAAATTTGTAGAAAATTTCACTATTAAAAGCAGTAACACCTATTTTGGCCTAAACTCTAAAAAAAGAAGTTATGGAACATTTAGTCCTAGTATAGAGTGGGCTATTAATATATATTTGTTGAATGAATGAATGGATGGATGGATGAATGAATGAATGGTATAGGGCTCTAGTATATTGCTAAGCAACTCCACTATTTATGCATAAAGTTAAGCATTACTTATTGGTTTCATTTGAATAGGTATATTTACATTAAATAATAAGAATAGCTTATTTTCAAGTATCCACCCAGAGCTGGTGGAGCGGGGATACTTTTTTGAAAATATTGTACTGGTATACCTACCTCATGGCTCCCCACCCAATAAGATCAAGAGCCTTTAACACGTTTTCTTTGTTTAAAGAAGAAGTTATTGTTCGGTTTCAACTGGCAAATTATATTTGTTAGTTCCATTTTTAATTTTGATCCCCAGGTTTTGTTAAGAAGGAATGGAAATTTGCCAACTCCAAAGGCTTTCCTTGAAATACTAAGAACTAGAGCCTGAAAGACAATGCAGAGAGATGAAGCGAGAAAGAACTCAGGATAGGATAGAACTCTCAACTCAAAGGAAGGAGGAAAAAAAACCTTTCAGTCCCTGGGGGAGCTGGGGATGAGAGAAGATAGTGAGAGAAAAAATGAAGGAGTTCAGACTCAGGCATCCTGGCTGTCCTCTAAGGGTCAAGACCCCGGGCGGGGATGCAAGTGGGAATAGAAACACTCAAATAGGACTAGAGGAATCCAAGTATGGAGGGACTCATTCCTTATTTCTCAAGAGAATAACTTTTTAAAAATGCAAACTGCTTAAAGAAGATTAGCATTTTACATCCCATTTCACATGACACCGAGCTAATAGTGTAGGAATGGTGAGGGTAGTATTTCACCCCTAATATGTAGAGAGCAAAAAGATGGAAATCCTGGGTATTCCAGGAAAATTGAAGCCAAGCAGCCCTGGAGGTTAGGATGAATGGCCACAGTGAGCAGGGACTTCATGTCTAGAGGCTGTGGCAGGACCCAAATTCTTCAGGGGAAGATACAACAGTTTGATGCCCCAAACCAGGCAGTTCCAGCCATACTTTCGTGACCACCAACTCAAGACACCCGGGCACAAGATATGACCAGCCACACCCACTGAGCATCAGAGAAGACCCAAGTGACAGCCTAAGTGCTATCCTGCCACCATGATAATCTACAATTTGTCCCTACATCTAGTCATACTGGGGAAGGAAAGAGGAGGGGAGTGAGTGAGACCCCGTGACAGAGAGGAGACAGCTGCATAAGGAGTTTCAATTTTAAACTGATTGCATTTATTTCTAAAAGACACTATTTAAATTACCTCTTACTAGCAATTTTTAGTTCCCCTCCCACAACCCACACCCCTACCACATTAGCAGAAATAAAAGTTTGAAAGCTAGATAAATCAGCTAGATAAAAATAATTTTAAGTCCCTTTCTTTATGTGTCTGAGTTATATTAAAATAATAATACTTAATGACGGCTATTATTATGTACCAGGTGCTATTCTAAGCTCACTACATGAGAATAGTTATTAACTCACGTGTTAATGACAACTCTTCTATGAAGTAGGTACTATTCGTATACCTGTTCTACAAATGAGAAAATGGAAACACAGAATCACACAGCTATTAAGTGACAGGACCTGGACTCAGAGCAGGCAACCTGACACCAGAGTCAGGACTCTTAACTCCTCTGGTAAACTGCAGGTACGTGTGAGTAAATATGACTTTGCAAACTAGCAAGCAGCACAGCTGGGATTCAACTCTGGTGGCCTAGCTATAATCATAAGCTCTTTTCACCATACTATTGCTTTTTTCCTTTTCCCCTTCTTCGGATGAGAGAACCACTTTTCCTTTGAGTATCTGCACCTTTCCACAAGCATCCCCACCAAAACCAGCAGATCAGTGAACCTCTACTCACCTTAAAGAATAATTGGTTACAGGAGACAGCAAAAGACCCACGCCAGGCCAGTCAAAATCCTTCTCAGAGATTGAGATAGACTCTGGGAGACAGAGACGATCTCTCCTCTTCTGGGATTGTAGGTGCTCTGGTGGATGGTATTCATTCGTTTTAGTAACCAGCATATGAATCACCTTCTTATATGAGGAATCCACCACCTTGGCAGCAGATCAGAGAAGCCAAATGTACCAGATATTCACTTTTCCAGCCTCCCTTGCAGCTAAGGTGCCCACATAACAGCCAAGCCAGAGCAATCAGACATACAGACTCCAGGTTTTGATTAGAAGTTAATGACCTAAAGAAGTGGAGACTGCACAAATCTATTTCTAGAGAGGAGGATACATGGCAGCATCTACATCCCATTTCCAGAGAGGCTGCAGTTCTAGCAACAGCGGTTGAGGCTCGGTGTCCAGCGTTGCTGTCAACGATACAATACCCCCCAGGGCGCTGCCCCAGGTCGGCGAAGCATGTCTGCAGGAAGACTGTGTTAGGGCTTCTGACAGGGAGCCTCTGGGGCTTGCCCTCCAGCCCTCCTGAAGGTTCTGCGAGCTACTTGATAAATCTCTTCTGGTAAGTTTCTACTACTTAAAATAGTCCTTTAGTTTCTTGTGCTTAAAACTAGGAATCTGCTTTAGTTTTCTATTGCTGCTGTAATAAGTTACCACAAACGTTGTGGCTTAAGACAACACACAATTCTGGGGTGCCTGGGTGGCTCAGTCGGTTGAGCAGCCAACCCTTGATTTTGGCTCTGGTCATGATCTCAGGTCCTGGGATCACCTGTGTTGGGCTCCCCACTCAGCAGGGAGTCTACTTGAGGATTCTTTCTCTCCCTCTGCCCCTCCCCCTGCTCATGCTCTCTCTCTCTCTAAAATAATAAATAAAATAAACCTTTAAAAACAAAAAGAATACAAAATTCTATTATGCTTCTGGAAGTCAAAAGCCCTAAAATCAGGGTATCAGCAGGGTTGCATTCCTTTCTGGAGTCTCTAGAGAATAATGCATTGCCTTGCCTTTCTCAGCTTTTAGAGGCTTCTTTCTTCCATCTTCAAAGCCAGTAACATTGCAGCTCTCTGACTATTCTTCCCTTGTCCCATCTTCCTCTGATACTCCCTCCCTTCTACCTTCCTCTCCCACTTCTAAGAAACCTTGTAATTATATTGGGTCCACAGGGAGAATCCAGGCTCTCCCTATTTTAAGGTCAGCTGATTAGCAACATTCATTCCATCTGCATTAATTTTTCTTTGCCATGTAACATTCACAAGTTCCAGGGATTAAATGTGGACATCTTTGGAGGCATTGTTCTGCCTATCACAGAATGTAAATGACACAGATATCTCTATCAGGTATGTTTACAGGTGACAGATGCTTAAGGAAACGGGGGCAATCTGGAAACTATCATCTGACCTGACTGCGGCTGAATACAATAAAAATCCACTAGATATTAATGATGTGGCAAACAAAAAGCTGATTCAAGCCACTATAATAAGCCACTCTCCTCATCCAATTCTGTGATCATTTCATAGACACAGAGGAAAAGAAAGTCACTTTTGGGGCGCCTGGGTGGCTCAGTCGGTTAAGCATCTGTCTTCAGCTCAGGTCATGATCTCAGGGTCCTGGGATCGAGTCCCGCATTGGGCTCTGCGCTCAGCAGAGAGCCTGCTGCTCTCTCTCCCTCTGCTGCTCCTCCTGCTTGTGTGCACTCCTCTCTCTCTGTCAAATAAACAAATAAAATCTTAAAAAAAAAAAAGGCACCTTTGGGGAAAAGACTTGCAACCATGGAAAAGCAAGTATCATCCATCCTCCTTCTAGCTTTTCCTATGGAAGATATGAGAAGTATGCCATTTGACAAGATAACTTGTCAAAAAGGGAAATATCCATTACTTTGAATTTTACTTGATGAGCTATGTGCTAATTCCTAAAGACCCATCCTGCGATACACCATTCATAGTTAGGGATTATATTATCAGAGAAGCCCAACTACTCATAGGCCCAGTGTAACCATAAAGCCATCATGTGATTATATTCCAAGTTGAGTGTATGGTTGGAATAGGTAGACCCAGAAGTGGGCAGAATCTGCACATTAGTTCCCTGAACTGTGGAGTGATAGAAATGGACAATTAAAAACTCTTTGAACTCCCAACTGCTAATATAAAAACTAGTTCCACCATCAAAGATAAAAGATGCAAGGGTCATGATTCTTATCACATTTCCATTTACCTTACCTTTTGATCATTGTAGCAGGAAGATGGGTCTTACAAAATAAACAGTGGATTATTATAAACATTATCAAGTACCATCTCTAATTGTACCTGCTCTTCTGGAAGTAGTCACTTTGCTTAAGTAAATCAACATGGTCCTTAGGATCTGATATATAGCTATTAATCAAGAAAATTCTTTTTTTCTGTTCTTCAGTATGCAGACATCAAAATCCCTATCTTCATGTTCCCTCAGTGGCCAATTTCCTGGATCTGTGCTAAAACCTAGTCAATGGATCCCTTAATAACACCATCTCATATCTCACTGATCCTCCATATGACAAAAAGAAGCATGTTACACTTGGTAAGACAATGTATATAAAAAGAATGAAGAAAACAAGATGGTATCAGGATCTGCAACTTCAGTAAAGTTTCTGGGAGTCCACTGATTTGGGACAGGTTGAGATAGCACCCTCAAAGTGCAGGTAAAGTTACCCCTTCTCACAGAAAAAAAAAAAAGCAACAGATTTCTGGAATTGGGAGGCAACATTCCCATTAACGTGTTTCTCTGACACATTGACTGGACCTAAAAGCTGCTCACTTTGAGTGGGGCACAAATCAGTAGAGAGCTTTCTATCTCGTATGAACCATAGCTCAAGCAGCTCTGCTCCTTGGCCTTTATGACTCATCAGATCCAAAGTGTTTAAAATATCAAATGAGGCAAACAAGGATGCTGAATAGAGCCAATGGCAAATCCCAAAGCAAGAGTCATGTGGCGGCCCCTAGGGGTTTGGGTGAAGGTCATGCCCTTTTCTGCATGTCATTATTTCCCTTGCGAAAAACAGCTTGCTGCTGAACTCTGACAGAGACTAATCGTCAAATCATGAGAAATCAGATGACCATTGTGACTGGGTTATCTCATCTGCCTCATCATAAATTGAGTTCACCCTGGAGCATATTATCAAGTGGAAGTGTTTTTCTATAGGTTTCAAAGCACAAACACATTCTAAAGGCGTAAGTTGCATGAGCAAGTGGTTCATACTTCCAGCATGCCTACCTCTGACCTAATGCCAGCCCTCTTCAGTTCATAGTTAGGATTCTGGAGAGTGGCCTGTGAATGACTGACTACAGAGGAAAAATCTAGAACTGGGTTTAGAGAAGGCTCTGCATGATTTTCGGGCACCAGCTTAAAAAGTTGCTGAAATGGTTCACACCCATTTAAGGGTGCCCCTAACAGACAGTGAAGAAGGGAAACCCCCCTATGAGTAGAAACTTGAGATCTCTTGTCCAGTTTTCTTGTCAATAGCAATGACCTGACATTAGATCTATACAGATGCATTGAGTTCTGCTAATGGTTTGGACAGACATTCAGATATCTGGAGATTGGAGGATTAAAGGTGAAGTTCGCAGAAAGGTTTGTAAATATCTGAATGGACCCAGATTGTGAGAATATCCGTGGGCCACATGAATGTTCATCAAAAGACCCCACTAAGAAATTGGACAAGATCAACAGGCCATGTCTTCCCACTGTCTCCCCAGTGTTTGCTGATTAAGCTCATGAGCAATGTGGTGATGTTGGCAGAAATGAAAACTATACATGGACTCCATGACATGAACTTAACACTTATCAAGGCTACCTGGCAACTAAAGAAGGAAGTAATCAAAAACAAAAACAGAGCTGAAAGCTGTGAGATAGAAGGAAAACCTTGATGCTTGAAACTCTAGATCCAGCTATACCTGAAGTCCAGATTTTTCAGTTATAGGAGCCAATAAATTCTCTTCTCAGATTTCACTGATCGAATTAGTTTTCCAACACACATTACCAAAAAATACTCTTTTATACAAGCCATGACGTTGAATTACCATACTCAACTAATTTGGGGAACAGAGGTACTACAAAGATGCTGGTGTCTTGCATTTCAGAGGGACACTATTGATATTTTCCTCTCTCTCAGGAACCATTAGCGGGTGCCCGTGCTAAGCATCACCCAAATTCTGAGATTTCTTGAAGTAAAACAAAACATGTTTCAGGGCGCCTGGGTGGCTCAGTCGGTTAAGCGCCTGCCTTCGGCTCAGGTCATGATCCCAGGGTCCTGGGATCGAGCCCCACGTCGGGCTCCCTGCTCAGTGGAGAGTCTGCTTCTCCTTCTCCCTCTGCCTGCCTCTCTGCCTACTTGTGCTCTCTCTCTATCTCTCTATCAAATAAATAAATAAAATCTTTAAAATAAAAAACATGTTTGGCAAATTTTTTCTTTGGTACATCAATAATGCATGTTCTTGATGGGGAAAAAATTAAATAAAAAGTAAAAATAAATATAAAAAGAACAAACAATAATTTACTTTTTTAACTTTTTATTATGCAGTAATTAGTGTTGCTAATATTTTGTCATATATCACTTAAGTCTTTTTCTACATTTTTTTTTCAAAAATGGAACCCTAATTAAGTATATTTTATAAGATTTTTAAAAAATACGGGGCGCCTGGGTGGCTCAGATGGTTAAGCGTCTGCCTTCGGCTCAGGTCATGATCCCAGGGTCCCGGGATCGAGTCCTGCATCGGGCTCCCTGCTCTGCGGGGAGCCTGCTTCTCCCTCTGCCTCTCTCTCTCTCTCTCTCTCTCTGTCTGTCATGAGTAAATAAATAAAATCTTAAAAAAAAAAAGTTTAAGATTTTTTAAAAATACTACCTCTTGAACACCATTTCATGTTTCTTCACATCATTTTTTGGAAGGACACCATACTTTTACTTTTTATGGAAGTAAATTTACAGTAAAATTTACCAATTTTAAGTATAAATTGATGAGCTTTGACATATGAATAACGTTGTATAACCACCACCTCAGTCACAATATAGAATCCATCATCAAAAAAGTTACTTTCTCCTTTGCAATCAGCTTCTGAACTTTTGCCCATTCCCCAAAATAATTATTTTCTATTCTTTCTACCTACTTTTTCCTAGGATTCCGTATTTCTAGTAACACGTGTTAGACTGCCTTCTTTTGGCTCACACATCACTAATGCTTTTTTCCCTTACAAATTTGTTTTATCATGGCTTCATTTTGGATAGTTTGTATTGCTGTATCTTCAAATTGTTCTCTTCTTCTATAGTGTCTAATTTGCTGCTAATCTAATCCAATGAATTTGTCATTTCTAATATTTTATTTCGCATCTCTAAATGTCTTATATCTTAAGTTCCTCTCATCATCATGTTTTCCTTTATCTCTTTGAACATATCAAATATAGTTATAGTAGCTGTTTTGATGTCCTCTTTTTGCTGGTTCCTGCACTTTGTCATTTCTGAATTTCTTTCTATTGGCTGGTTTTTATCCTTACTGTGGGTTGTATATTCCTACTTCTTTGCATGACCAATAATTTTTTATTGATTGACAGGAAGAGTAAACTTTACATCACTGGTTGTTGGATTTTTGTTCTGATGTACAATTATTTGCAACCAGCTGCAATCTTCTGAGTCTTGCTTTTAAGCTTTGTTAGAGAAGGTCCAGAGCAGCCTTTAATCAAGTCCAATTTATCTCCATTATTAAAGTGATAACTTTCCTAGTATTCTGCTCTGTGAAATCTTTGTGCTCTAGCTAGTAGAAACATGAATATTTACCAACCCTGTGTGCCCTGAATTTTGTTCTACTCCTCCTTCTACAGTTACTTCCCTGGCCTCAGTTCCCTCTCACATGTGCACAGATCAATACTCAAAGATTCAAAGGGATCCCTCTAGAGATCTGTGGAGTTCTCTCCTTTTAGAGTCCTTTCTCCTTAATAGTCCACTCTAAAAATTCTGACAGGCTTGACTTCCCCAAACTCTGATTTCCATCTCTTCAATTCAGCAAGACTAGCAGAGACTTCCCCTGTCCCCACCCCCCACCCCCATCTCATTTCCTCTAGATAATAACCTGGTATAATCTTAGTACTCATCTGGTTTATTTCCTTTCTGTCAGTCCTACACTGCCTATTGTCCGATGCCTGAAAACCATCACTTTATATAATTTCTCTGGTACTTTTCAGTTAACGTAGTACAGTAAATCCAAACCCTGTAACTCCATCCTGGCTGAAGCAGAAGTCTACAGCATCATTCTGTTTTTTTTTTTTTCTTTCTTTTTTTCTTTCTTTTTTTCTTTTGTTTATTTATTTACTTTTATTATTAACATATAATGTATTATTTGTTTCAGGGGTACAGTTCTATGATTCATCAGTCTTACACAATTCACAGCGCTCACCATAGCACATACCCTCCCCAATGTCCATCACCCAGCCACCCCATCGCTCCCACCCCCCCTCCCCTCCAGCAACCCTCAGTTTGTTTCCTGAGCTTAAGAGTCTCTTATGGTTTGTCCCCCTCTCTGGTTTCGTCTTGTTTCATTTTTTTCCTCCCTTCCCCTATGATCCTCTGCCTTGTTTCTCAAATTCCACATATCAGTGAGATCATATGATACTTGTCTGTCTCTGATTTATTTTGCTTAGCATAATACCCTCTAGTTCCATCTACGTCATTGAAAATGGCAAGA